CAGCTTGGTCTAGTTCCTATAGCTTCTCACTTGCTAGGACCCTGATTGTGTACTCCTTTTATATTCTCTTGACTGGCCTTGTGGTTTCTGTCCCTATGGTTGGACTAGTTGTACCATCATAGGTTGCTCTTGTTTAGATTGTACTCTTGCTGACTGGTCTTCGGACCCTCAGAGGCTGGACTAGTAGTGCCGCCCTGAGCTGTGTGTCGATTTCTAGGCATTGCCCCTCATCTAGCCTAGGGGGTGTGTCAAACATATTTGTACATATTATAATAGGCTAGATAGGTGCATGCTCATAGAGGGTACAGCATTTGCACAAAATCAGCCATTATGTCTCATTCTAGTCAACCTTTCTACTTTGAGAATGGGCGCACTCATTCGCTACTTAACAAGTCCTTTTAACTCGGTGGTTAGTGACAGAGTTATGACATGGTATCAGAGCCTGGGGAATTAGGTTCAATTCCCAGTGCTAGCGCTGCAGAGGTGCTTGTGTCTTCCGCCTATCCTAGTGAGGGGGGGTGTCGAGAGACCCGTTGGGGTTGCCCTTGAGATCCTCGAGGAAGGGCCACAGGCCTCTATGCCTGGGGGGTTATGGGCGCACTCACCCGCTACTTAACAAGCTCTTGGTGGGTTATGTTAGATATGATGGGCATGCGAAGGTTCCGGGTACCAAGAATGATCAAATCGCCTGATTGGTGGATGACCGTTTGACAACGTTGATCTTAATTTCTGTTCGATACTAAAAAGGTGAACCACCTGTTTAGGGTGGCCAGGATCCAGAGTTGGTGGAACCACGATAAAAAGTCAGCGGAAGACTTTACACCTTGTATTGGAAATGTCAGAAATGACAAGAATAATAATAATGAGTAATACATACATATTTATAGTCTAGGAAGTACCTATTCGGATGTATCTGTTCGTAGTGTATCGCGACTATTCATGTTACATGACTAGTGTCTGTTCGTGTGACTGAGAGTGGCGTGACCCTTCGGGTGACTATACGCGCAAACCTATTGTTCACGAGTTGACTCGCTACTGCTGAGGTCATCATGCGCGTTCTTCCATGTAAGGATTGCATAGGTAAACTCACTTGAGTATACTTCAACACTACCCTTCACATATGAGTTTATGTCCCTGGGTAAGTGTCGCCGCGTTTGCAGATTCCAACCAATTTGGAGCAGCATTGAAACTTGCCGCGTGGGAGTTTCTTCGTCAAGAAATCAGCTGCCATTTCTTATGTAGGGCAATATTTCAGGATGACCTTCCCTTTGTCGATTTCGTCCTTGACGAAGAAGTAACGAAGGATAATGTGTTTTGTCCTATTGACGAAGCCGGGCTTTTTTGCAATCTTGATTGCGCTCTGGTTGTCGCAGAGTAACTTGAAGTTACGGGTCGTTGCGATTTTCGCCTCTTGAAGTAGCTCTTGAAGATGGAGTCCTTCGCGAGCTGCAGAGCTTGCTGCGACAAATTCTGCTTCGGCTGACGATAGTGCCATGACCTCTTGTTTTGTTGAGTTCCAGAAAATGATACCACCCAGTTCAAGTTTGAAGATGAACCCTGTACGCGAACTCCTGTTGTCGGGATCAGCAGCGTGATCCGCATCAACGTATCCAGTAAGTCGAAATTTCGCTGCAGTATTTGTCGTGTAGCTGAGACCAATTGTAGGACTAGAAATGAAATATTGGAGGGCTCGACGAAGATCATTCTCCCCTTCAGGTTGACGCATGTACTGTGCAAGCTGATTCGTGATGTAGGCAAATTATGGGCGGCATGTAACGGCTGTGAATAGAAGCCACCCAAGCCGCTGCTGGTAAAGCTGATGCCTGGAGGCGGAAAGTGGGGTAATATTGGGTGTGTGATAGGCTGGAATATGATGAAATGGAGTGGTGTTGGTTGCTGAACTGCGACAGCAAGTCTGAGGATCTGAAGAGCTGATTGGTCACCACGAGGATGAGGTTGGTAAACTTCGACGACATCATAATCGTCGATTTCGGATGGCAGTTGGCAGGCACCGTCATGTGATGCTGTGTCAGTTTTCTATTGGTGCAGGTACTCCTCATAATTGTAGGCAGCCCGTGTCGTGGCAGGATGCAACGGGTCTGAGAGGGGAATGAAGCGTGGTGTTTCGGTGTTGTTGGCACCTGTCTTAGGAATGAAGGAGTCGAACAGTGGTGGTTCGGCTGCTGACGTAGACGGCTGCGGAACTGTAGAAGGTCCTGCTGCTGCACTGTTGGGGGGATAATATTCTTCGGCTGCAACTGCTTTGTCTTTAGGAGTGGCGAAACTCCGTTCGGCACTGTAGCGATCAGGATCCCACTGCTGGTGCTCCTTGTCGCGTTCAAAGTCATCAAGAAAAAGTTTCTCATAGAAGATGTAGTTTTGGGCATACAAAACCTTTCGGGTTTCGTAATCCATAATTATCGAGGAGTAGGAATCCTTGGGTATACCAAGGTGTATTCCCCATCGAGCGCGTTCTGTAAATCTGCCCACAGTTGCGCTAGGAGGTCTGTATTGGACCATGCAGCCACAAACTCGTAAAATTCGAGTGCAGCAAGGTGTTTTGTCCACATGACGTATGGGGAGTTGGACTGAGGAAGAGATGTTGAAGACAAGCAGTTGTGTAAGCGGACAGCTTGCGTTATCGCAAACAACCAAAAATATGTTGTCAAGCTGGACTGTTGCAGCAGCACACGCACCTTCTCTTGCAGCGTCTTGTTAGTTTTCTCAGCTACTTTATTGTGTTGATGGGCGTAAGGCACAATCTTGCACCTGAGTATCCCTTTCCGCACCAGGAATTTATCGAACTTCTCGCTGGTGTAGTCGCCCACGTTGTCTGCCTGGATCTCTTTCAACTTGATGCCGCTCCGTCGCTCCGCGATTTTCTGCCATAGCTTGAATGCATCACGAGCTTCAGACTTGTAGGAGATATTCTAATGCTAGACGTATCGAGTAGCACTGTTGATGCTGGTAGTTATATAGCGGTAGGCGTTGTCGCTGATATCCTCTGCTTCCTGCAACATGAAGAGTATGTCGTTGAAAACGACATCCGTAGGTGAGTACTTAGTAGCATTTGGAAAGTGCGACGGGAACGGAGCGTGACTTAGGTGAGCTCTGGGGCAGATGGTGCAGGGTAGTTGATGACTGCTAGGTGAAAGCTCTTGGCCGTTGGTTAAAAGGAGTGCGTCCTTGTCGAAAACCGAGGCTTTAATGGAGTTGTTGAGAGCTTCTTGCGAGGGATGACCTAACCGCTTGTGCCGGATTTATGCTGTAGTCCTGTATCCCTTAGAATGCAAGTACAAGTCGGAGTGAAGGAAGAAGGTCGGCGAAAGATGAACCGTTCGCGCAGGGTTAACAAAGCGGCCAGTGTCGAAAGTCTGGATGAACCCGGCTTCTTCTGCAATTTCAACCCAAGGTATGCCGAGTTGTCGGCGACGTGCCCAAGCATCAGGTACGATTAACTCTTTCTTGCCCCATGTGCGTTCAACCTCCATAAGTTCTTCAACTGTAGCACATGTTGGTTCTTGATTGTCGTAACCCCAATTTCCATCTCTAGATGCCCATGTACTTTGAAGTGTTTCTGCTACTGCTTCTGTTGGTTCTGCTGCAGGTTTGTTGAGGGAGTTGGAGCGACAAGGCTGAGGTGTGACGCAGAAGGCACTTAGACCACGATGGTCTTGGCGTTGAAGATATGTTTCCCACTGATGATGCCAAGGAGCAAGTGAAACGTTCTTCTTACTGTCGCCAGATGCCTTGACAGGTGAAAACCGCAGAATGGAAACACCGTCTTTAATTTCTGTGATGCCAACTAAATTACTTTTGTCTGCCTTCTTATCGCCCAAGTACAACTCTGTGAGCATTGTATTGGCGGTGCTGACAAAACATATGCCACTTTCCATCAGCTGCGCTTGTGATAGTAGGTTGAAGCTGAGTCCCGTGGCGACAAGGACCTTGTTCAGGTGAGGTGAAACTTCTGTGTCGTCGGACTCGAGTATCACATCTCCAATTCAGGTTGCTTCAATAACCTGATTGTTAGCAACTGTGATGTTGTAGTTCTCTCCGTTTGGCAGGTTTCGCCAGTTGAGCAGATATTGACTTGAAGATGCCATGTGGTGACCGCAACATGTTAGAATTAAGGAAGGAGTCTAGGTGAACTTAGGAGCTAGAATGACTCAAAATATAAATCCCAAAATTCTGGACAGAAAATTCGTCTCCACAAGAAATATCGTCGATACAAACCTAGCTGTTGGGATGTCGCGAAACTTGGTATGTTGTAGCTTGTAATCTCAGCTACCATTCCCAATTCGAATCACATAGATTGATGGACTATTCGCGACGCTATGGATTTCGACACACAAGGGGGTATGCTGTAGGAGAAGAACTTTACTCAATCTCAAACTTCAATCAAGGTTCAAGAATCTCACAAGGAATTGGAGGAGCAAGAGAAAGGTTGGGATAGGAAGAGAGGGATGAGAGGGAAGGTCCAAAGAGAGTTCCCAACCAAGGAAACCCCATAAGCACAAAGTTCCCTCCCTATAGGAACTTCAACTTTGACCTTTGTCCCTTCCCAACCAATCCATCCAAGTTGGCCACCCTTGCCAACCTAGTTTGGTTGTTCCCAACCAATTTGCAGCTGCTACAATAGAGTGACGAATTTTCCCAACCCCCAAAGGTCCCAACTTCACTTTGTAACCGCCGCAATTGTAACGCAAGCTCATCAACTTTGAATCTTCATAGCTTTCACGTTCGTGCTCCGATTGAAGGGATTCTTGTTGCGTCGGAAAGATCTTCTCAAAATCTATCATCAAAAATACCTTCTCAAACAAAATAACACAAAACAAATTCCCAAACTCCAGAACACACCACACAAATTTTTTTGCACACGTTCAAACCACACATGCAAGTTTGAAAACATGGAATGGGAGGCAGACAGAATGTGATGGCATATGATGACATCACACAACAATCTTCCCTTCTATCTGCCAGCCATCATGCACCATACCAACATCTCAAGCATGCATACTCAATGCACACTCATCCCAGGAAGCTTCATGCCCTTCCAATGATCCGCCTCTGCCAGACGCTTAGTGAAAATATCTGCTGCCTGCTGATGGGTCTTCACTATCTCCAGCCGCACCTCCTCATCAAGGAGTCTCCTCACCCAATGCCACTTAGGCCTTATGTGTTTTGTCAGCCCATGCGGACAAACATTTTTTACCAACTTCACTGCAGACTCATTGTCACAGAAGATCACCGTCAGCTCCTTCTGACCAACTCCCAACTCCTCCAACAAGCGCCTCAACCACACCACTTCCTTGGCTCCGTGGTATCAGGCTATGTACTCAGTCTCACATGAGGAAAATCCCACTTCATTCTGCTTCTTGTTGCGCCAGGTCACAGCACTACCCCCCAGCAAGCACGCATAGCCCCCAATGCTGGTGCCATCCGCTTTCACTGAGTTGAAGCTAGCATCAGTATAGCAACTCAAGAGCATCTCTCCACTCTTCACATCTGCAGCACCTCTCTGCAACCGCTGCATCACTCCACTATACTCCAATCTCACTGATGTCGTAGCACTGACATAGCGGACCAACCTCTTTGCCGCTTCCAGCTGCTCATGCCTAGGGCGTGAAATCACGCTAGCCAACCGTGATGTAGCAAATGCAATGTCATGCCATGTATGATTTGCAGCATAGTTCAGCGACCCAACCATCGAATGAAATAGCTTCATGTTACTCTCACCCACTACCTCCTCATCAGCACATGGCTCAATAGTAAACCCCGAAGTTGGTGATGTTGCTGGCTTTCCCCCATCTTGCAGCCCATACTTCTCAGCCAGCCCCTCATAGTACTTCCTCTGGTGCAACCTCAGCACACCCTTCTCCACATCCCTCTCCACATGCACCCCTAGGCAGTACTTCACCTCACCCATCTTGGAGCACTTGAACTGCATCTCCAGCATCTACTCTGCGCTATCCAGCAAAGCAGTTGATGCAGAGAAAAGAAAATGATATCATCCATATACACCTAGAGCATGAGGATTCATCATTCTCTTGTAGCAGGAACAAGCTGGGGTCACAATCACTCTTCTTGAAACCCCCAGCCAGCAGTGCCTCCTCCAACTTGTGATACCATGCATAAGGCGCCTGCTTAAGGCCATAGATGGCCTTCTTGCCGCTCCCATCATCCAGCCCCTCTCGCTGCTCCATGTACACCTCCTCCAGAATGATCCCATTCAGAAAGGCAGTCACAATGTCCATCTGCCGAATCTTCCATCCCAGGAGTGCAGCTATCGCCAACAGCACCCTCAGTGTTGTTCCTTTCCCCACAGGAGCAAACACCTCATCATAGTCCTTCCCCTTTGTCTGCTGAAATCCCTTTGCCACAATCCTAGACTTGTAGCGGGTCAGCTCCCCTTCAGGTCCATACTTGTGCCTGTAGATCATCTTGGAAGTGATTGCCTTCTTCCCAGGAGGCAAGTCACACAGGTCCCATGTCTCGTTCTCAATCAGGGACCCGAACTCCTTATCCTCACTCGCCTTCCACTTCTCCCCATTTGGTCCATTCAAGGCCTCTTCTCGAGTCTTGGGCTCAGAGATTGGTGCCCAGTAGCAGTGAGCGATCTCGTGTTCCTCAATCTGCTCAACCACACTCCTAGCCTGCACCACATTTGGCTTGCCTCTTCCCCCATAGGTCAGCCTCACCAGAGGGTGCACATTCCACCTAGGTCGCCCAGGTGGGTGTGGAACATGAGGTGGAGACTCATGCTGCTGCTGTTGCTACTCCAACTCAGCTGCTCACCCTTCCTCTGTCACCCCAGACATCTCCTCCTCAGACACTGCAACCTCCACCTGTCTTGGAGGCCGCTGCACCTCATCTGCCTCGACAATGAGCGGTGTAGATGGAAGCTTTTTTTGCTGCTGCTTCTATTCCTTGTAGTACAGGGACTCAAAAAACTTCACATCCCTTGACACAGTCAGCTTTTGGGTGGTCAAGTCCCATAGCAGCCACCCCTTATGATCCTTTGCAATCCCCAAGTGCGCACTCCATCTTCCAGAAGCCTCCAACTTCCCCCTTTTCTCCTTAGGCACATGAAACACCACCATGCACCCAAATGCCCTCAGCATGTTCACAGCTGGAGCATCCCCATACCACTTGGTATAAGGGATCCACTCCTTATCCCCAACTGTAGCCATTACCCTATTCCTCACAAGGGCGACCTGCCTCAGTGCAGACATCCAAAACGGATCAGGCAGCCCTGGACGCCTAAGGAGAGTGCGTGCCCCCTCCTACAGGGTCCGTTGAACCTCTAAGCCACGCCATTCTGCTGCGGGTTGTAGGGCACTGTCAGTTGATGTTGGATCCCCTTCCTCTTCAATTCCCCCTCAAAATCAGCTCCAAAGAACTCCCCACCATTGTCACTGCGGATCACCTTCACCTTGTGTTCACATTCCCTCTGAGCTCTAAGCATCCACTCCTTAAGGACAGCCGCTGCCACCTCTCCCCTGCTCTTGAGAGGATAAATCCATACTGCTCGAGTGTGGTCATCCACAATTGTCAAGAAATAGCGGCTGCCTGAGAGGGAAGGGGCACTTGTGGGCCCCACCACATCCATATGCACAAGTGCAAGTGGGGTCTTGGCTGGTCATGTAGTGCTGTTGAAGGGGAACTTGGAGAACTTGGTCTCCAAGCATGTAGGGCAGCTCCGAATCTCCTTCACTCCCCCCTTGACCTCCAACCCTTTCAGGCTCCCATCCTTCACCAACTTCTACAGCATAGGGAAGTTCACATGACACAGCCTCTCATGCCACGTCTCCCAATCGACCTCACCACTCCTTGATGAAGCCTTAGCCCATGCCGCACTCGCATCCACACCAGCAAGCACCTCACCATGTGTCTGCTGCTGCTGCACTTTCTTAACTGCTTCAAGGACCCCAGCAATTGGTGCATTTGCATCTCCTCCTGTTGTTGCCTTTGCCGCTGCTGCCGCTGCTGCTGTTGGAGTCTTCCCATTCCAAGGGATAATGGGCCGCTGCCACAGGTCCTTTATGCTGCTGGTCTCCTCTTCCAAACTCCGCAACACCTTCTTCCCAAGCTTAGCACAGCAGCTGGTTTGTGAGAGTACGACCCCGTTACACTATTTTCCCCTTTCCATATTTCATTTCTATTTCATTCCTCTTTTTATCCTCATTCATTTGGTCTTTATCGTATCTCATTTGGTTTCCTATTCCTCATTTTCCATTATCCTTTGGTTTATCCTGTTATTATAATTATATCACCGACCAGGCTCGGGATGTACTGGCGCGCTCTATCTAGCGTAATCCTGCCGTAATCCATTAAAGCCAATAGCCTCGCGTGGCTATACGCAGGGTGATTCTATTTCTAGAAGGGTCTATTTCCTTTGGATAGGATAAACCTGGTTACCTGATGTATTATGGAAGTATAAAAGCACCTTGTACTGAATGATAGGGCAACATTGAGCAAACCTTTCCTCGGGACATTCGATCCTGTGACACTTGGTAATCAGAGCCAAGGGTTCAGCTCAACGCTTAACCGCTGGGCCCCCAGGAGCACGCGGAGGATGGAGTCGAAACTTCAATTCCTGTAAGTACAATGCACTTTCATTTAAGTTTCGACTCACCTCTCGCAGTTGCACCTGGGGTCCCCTTCGAAGGCGAGATGCCTCGCCAACCGTTCGATGGACTGCATCGACGGTGCCGATTTTTCGCGGGGGCAAACAGCCACGACCTGGCGAGCGCGTCAATTCTGGCGGAACACTCCCTGCGACATTCGGAGAAGTTCGCAGTTTGCGACCACACTTGGAGTTGCGCGGAAATTGGCGGAGCTGCGACCGACGACATCCGTCCGATGGAGATTCGACGCTTCAGATCGACCGAGGCGAAAACGAAATCCTGCTGAGCGATTTCGAGTTTCAGCGCGACTGGGAACGGGACCTTGCAAGCCGCGAAATTCTTCGGAGCGTTGGATCGATCGACAGCCGACATCGACGACCGAGAATTGCTGCAGTAAACGAGTCAACCCATGCACCGAAAGCTGCTGAACATCTCTCAGGAGGCTCCTCAGATCGCTTGGAGTTTTGGACCGTCGGATCGGCTCCTACTTCAACGGACGAGATGGAGCGCGATTTCTGCACAAAGGGAGAATGACGCGCAGAACCAAAAATCAGCCGCCTTCGACACCGTCGACAACATCTGAACAACCAAATTCGAATTCCTTCATTTGGTGACGAATTTGGCGCGTAAATCATCTGCAGAGTCAGAAATCTGCCAAAGAATTACCTACTTGGTAATAGCTGCAAGCAGAAAAATGACAGGAGAACGTAGATCGCCGGATCGGTGCGGAATCAACGGCACGAATGCAGCAGAGACTACACTTATGGGAAATCATCATCATGGAGACAACATTCGTGACCACCGACTGCACAATCGACGCATCTTCTGACTGGTGTCGATAACGATCGAGTTATTTTGACGAAGTCATCTTCGTTAAAAATGGATCGACATCAACACAGCGAATCTTCACCCAGGAAAAACAATGGAGCTGCGTGAAGACATGTCCTCCATCCATGAGACACTTCTTCATACAAATTGATCGACAACCTATGGGATTGCAGAGAAGTAGCTGTTTTCTCTTGCAATGCTCCCAAGTTCAAGTTGCTGCGAAGGACCAAATTTCGCACGCAACGACGACGCAGTGAACCTGTCTCGTCAAGGCCAGCGAGACACTACTTCGTAACAGGAGCTGATCGATTCGTCTTCATCAAGAATCTCAGCCATCCGAAGTGATTGATTGGAGCAGTCTCAACATCGACCTCACGAGGCGACACACCAATCATGCGTCGCGATTCCAGGTGTTAATGACCTGCGTGGAAGAGAATTCCGTGCATGTCACGATGCTTGACAGATTGAGGAGTAATTAACCTCTAATCCGGCAAGTACTCGTTCACTAGCGACCCTACGGCACATGCATTGGAGGCGATTCTACCAGAAGCCGAAGCGTTACAAGCACCAACGTAACTTCGACGATGCAGGAGAACGTCAAGCAACACGAGGTGTCAACAAATGAGGGAGATGCGGACTACTACAACACGATCACGCGCTCTACCGACCGTACATCGGAGGCACGGATGAGCATACCAGGAATTGCTACCCGTGGATACTTTGAGGGGAGAAGCAAATTTCTCTTCACACCCTCAAATGAAACAATCACCGGCAGCAATGGAGCAACACATGTGTACCAATGTGCACGTGTTCCTGGTAGTTACGCCTGTTACACCCATCAGGAACACTCTACTAGGAAGAGGGAGTTGATGGATTCTCCTTCAACCGGTACGAGTTAAAAGAATTCTCTGCAGCAGCTGCCGCCGTCGCCGTCGTCGCTACCGCCGCCGCCGCCGCAGCAGAAGACTCGACACAACAGTCACAACCAAATCCTGATGGATGATTCTCCGCTCAATGGAGATAATGCTGGATTATATTCCAGTGGAACGTAAAGTCCCGGCCAGGCA